TATGTTCTGTACATACTGTGTGTTACCAAACAATTTTATGTAACAAGGTATAATCTCTACTAATGTAATACTCTGTTCTCTGTCTTTACTTGAAAAAAAGGGGAAAAAATGAGAAGGCAGAGACAGAGCAAATTGGACAGAAAGGCTTAGAAATACTCAACAATATAAGAGCCATGCAGTTAAATATGTGAGATGGGGAGCTAAACTTGTGTTGCTGTTTGCTTGGGAGTAAGCTGAACAGCCCCTTTTGAGCTGCTCAAACTTACAGCCCCTCTGAAGCATGCCACAGCAGAGATTCCTTCCAGAAGCTGCATCTTCCATATATTCTCTCACTTTCTTTCCTGCCTCATTTACTTCCAGGAGAGATTACAACTCCTGCATTTCTCGAGGCTTTGAAGCTTCTATTCTCAAAACCACAGGCAATCACAGACAAAATTTCCATCAACTTGCCATGCTGGTTACAAGTTGTTGCTCTCTTTACCCATCACTGCTTCCAACATGGAGGGGCTGTGCAGGGTTACACACCCAGCTGCCACAGCATTTAGTATTCACAGACCTGAGGCTGAATTTTTTATTTGGGTAAAATTCTCACTGCTATTGGCCCCAACGATATTTTCAGCCTTTCTGGGGTTTTGCCTGAGCAGCCACAAGTGAGCACTTCAAAAATGAAGATGTGATTATCGTCTGCTGCATTAGCAGAAAGATTTGTGATGGCAACACACTATGCCACAAATCTCTCTTATCTTGCCGATTGTGTAAAGAAAGAAAGACTGTGGCAAATTAAGAGACTTTTGCGTATGATACTAAAATTGTTAGAAAATACTGTCATTTTTTAAATTTATGAATGTTTTCATATAAAACTTACTTTCTCTCTGTTTGGCACAACAACCTCCCATCTTGTTTTCATTACATTTATCACATACTATCTATGTACAGATAACTATGCTCAAAGGCGTCTGTGCAGGGTAAGTCTAGGTCTACATAGATCGTGCACTCACTACCTTATGGTAAGCAGCTGCTCTTATCTTGTGATAAACATTAACAAAAAGACAGCTACAGCTCCTTGACAGAGGGAATACCAACTTAAATGACCTTGAAATATCGCAGGTAAGAACACACATAACAGACAGGAGAGGTGACACAGCAACCTGTTGCTCTGCAGCACTCACACAAACACACTCTATGGCTTTTTAAGGAGTTCTCTTCATTTTCGTATCTGAGCTCCTCACAGTCTTTAAACACCTATTCACATGACACCCAGTGAAGTACAGTGCTGTGCCAGTAACTCTTCTGTTGATGAGCTGAAGGGACAGCCTGCAAAAGCACCCTGAACTGCAAAGTGCTATAGAGCAGGATGTTCAAAGCTAGGTGTCCTGAAGGCTTTGGGGAGCTCCCACTTCTTGTTTGTCTTCACTTACCCCTGAGAAGCCCGACCCCATGTGAACCGCCCAGGGGAAAACCAAGTGTTGCTTGGTGCAGGTTTCCTGAGTTTTAGGCTGCTGTGCTCTGTGACACAGCCTTAGGAGAAGGGGGAGTCACGCTTGACACTTCTTCACATCTCCATCAGGCAGTGGAGCACAGCTCCGTTCCGCTCAAATGTGTCAGCTGAGGTCAGTGTGGTGTTTAATGCTACATAGGCAGGCAACAACAAAGCTCAGAACTGAACTCTGTGTTCTGTTGCCTGTGCCTGCAAACCAGCCTGCTGTGGAAAAAGCTCTTCCTTTAAAAAGCAAACAGCCCCAAACTGACCCCTGAAAGATGGGAAGGTTCTGGGAGGAAGGGCTGGCTCCCTGCTGCAGATAAGGTTGATTACTGCAGTAACAATCAAGACTGTATTACTTTGAGATATACTGATACTTTCAGCACTAATTGCATAATTTCTGCTGCATTTTAATGCAAACATATGTAATTATTGAATATTTACATAATGAATGTAGCACTCTCTGCAGTGTTTTAAATGCCAAGCACCTACAACACAATTCTTGCAACCTTAAGAGGTGGCAGTCCTCTTTTTTTCAACCAGAAAAAGACTCAAACCTAGGGCTTACGCATCTTAATAATGCCCCTCGGGTACATTTGTTCTCCACCACAATCAGCTCTCCTTTTCACCCCTTAATACAAAGCCCAAGGGGGAAAAAAAAGCTACGTACTGTGTGCTGTGTGGGAAATCGAGCAAGTGCGTCATGGTGACAAAGGGGTGGTTCAGAGTTTCAATGGGTGTTATTCTCTTATCTGCATCTATCGTCAACATCTTCTTTAACAGATCTATGAACTCCCGCCGGTCCGCCTTTTCCACCAACATATCACTTCCTTCCAAATCTGTTGTCATGTTCACCTAGAGGAGAGAGGACAAGGGTGACGGCTACATGGAAAGAGCAGATGGTCAGGTCTCCATCGAACTGTGTTTACTCCTCATTGGAGCACATGCCCTGCAAGCCCCGCTGTCTGAAGGGGTAGTTGCTGAAGTCACAGAGCAGACTCTGCGGTAGCTAGTCATCTGGCTTGTGTGTGTCAGACCTCCAGACAGTCTGTTAAGTGTTCAGCTCGCTTGGGTCAATGGCTAATGAAACACTTAGTCACCCTCCACTGAAGATGAACAGCTTCCATGTGGTAGTAGGCAAGCTCTGATAATCAGTGTATTTATCATACAAAGGTCTGTGCTACCAGGTACTTAACAATGTGTCCTGTGAGCAGAAAATATATAAAATAAATAAAAATTGTCAGTAGGTTTATCAGAAACATCCTATTCATGGATCACTTGCTGGGAAAAAACACAGTGTTACGTTATTTCACCCATTTATACAGTCTGCTGTGATCTCAGTCCTCCATTTTTGCATGTTAGCTTGTGAATGCTATGGTACCTAGACTTTGCTAGCACAAACTCCAGCTTTGTGCTAGTCTTGGGTGCTAGTGTTGTGACAGTTTTGTGTACTAGTTTGTTTGCTAGCACAGGCTCCAGTCGCAGGGGTGGTTATGCTGGAATTAACTTTCACAACCATATGGAATCGACACAGTGAATTAGTACTCCCTGTTCCCCCCACCCAGCCGTATTTTACAAAGAGCATGCTCTTCTGTGGCCATGGTGATTACTTCCAATGTCACTGTTTTACAAATGGAAATATTAAGGCATAGAGAAGTGACTTGCCAGTGGTCACACAGAGGAGCACTAAAGAGACAAGAGAAAGAAAACAGGATTTTAAACACTCAGAGATGTGACTTAGCCACTTTCCATGGATGTTTTTCGACAGCACATCAAGACCACATGCCCCCGTGTGCAGTTTTCCCTACAAAGCAGCACAGAATGAGCTGATCTGATAGGCATAATCCTGGTATTTCTCAGAAGCTAGCGTAAGAACAGGACACACAGAGAGATCACGTAGTTCCCCTTTGTTAGCGTTGCCCAGAAGCGTATGAGACAGTCCTGCTGATTACTCACCAATGCTCTTACCTGTGCCATATCATCCAAACAGTTGAAAATATACTTTCTTGCTTCCTTCGACTTAATCCCTGTCTCTGCCTCATGATCATCTGGTGTCTGTTTAGAACAGGAAACAGGCATTGACTAGAACTGCCCTGCGATCAGCTGTGAGTTACATGCCACTTCCCACTTGTGCCTTATCCTGCCCTCATCAGAGACCATTGTATCTCTCTTGCCTCACCAGATAACATTTACACTATCTCTGCTATGGTTATATGACAGCTCGTGTGTCACAAGGTGATTTATCCCTTCTTTTTCACTTCAGAGGATCCTCACAATGGCAGTGAGAGTCTCAAAGGTCTTTTACACCCATCTCAGTGTGATGCTCAGCATCTCATCCTTACAGCCAGAAGTCCAATGACCTCTCTCTATGAGAACTGAATGCAGCCAAATACACTGGTACAAGAGACTCAGGGCTCACTTGCATTACTAGCCGTTTTGATTGTCAGAATTAAAATACTTTCTTCCTCCCTCCCACAGTGAGTTAGATATTAGAGCAAAGTCTGCCCAGGGCATGTTTCATTTGAACTACACATCAATTCATTGACTACTTAGAGGGAGATTTGCAGGGCAATTCCAGACTTAAATTTCCCACAAAGCAGTGCCAAGCAGGTGGGTTAATGTCTGCAGACTCTGGGGATGGCAGTTTTACCTGGGGCTATACCCACTCCAATGTCTGTGCTGCACTGCAAAAAGCAGACCTAGGCTCTGGGGTGACCTGAACATCTCCTCACTTCCAGCCAACAACTGCAAGGTAAAAGAAACAAGGGAATATCTTCCTACCTTCAGTCTCCACAAAGGATATGGTGAGTCTGTATCCCTGTTGAAAAACCTTGTAGTCTTTGTCCCTGCGCTTAATAAATACTCTGCTGGTAAGCCCTGCGTCTGTGAAATATAGCGAATCTGTAAGAGAAGGATGAGAGGTCACTGTTCATCCTGTGAAGATCTCTGGAGATCTTCCTAGGAAGGAGGGCAGGAGGCATTTAAAACAATAGAACAAAGAAAGAGAAAAGGTAGCACATAGTTAGACTTCACCAAAAAAAAAAAAAATCCCCAAAAATCCCAGTGCAAGGAATGAGAGGAAAAAGAAATCCTGTATGGCAGCCCTCCATTTATCACATACATCACTAGAAATTCACCTTTATGGTACAGTCCCACAAAGTCTATGGATAACTGGAGGAAAGTCCCCAGGTTTTACAGGTCAGAGAGGGAGACCCGCACAGAGATTCCAATGGGGTGTTTCACCGCTTTGCACCTTTCTATGTCACGCTCCCCTCCCCTCTCCAGGAGGTAATTTCAACAATTCGATGTTCGTGCTCTAACTTTTGCTGATTTTTTCCTCCCAGATGAGTGCACAGCCTTTCCTAGGAGCAGTTTGAAGTTAGAAATGGACGACTATGAAGTGATTATCTTTGAACTTAGACGAAATATAGACTCAAATGAACTGACACCCTCACAGTATGTAAAGTACTTCACCTCTGACTTCATCTCTGATGACTTTGTTTGTTATTTGGGCTAATTCCTTGAGTATGACCTCGCTGGTGCTCACATAGTTAAGAGATGCTACACATGCGTTTCCAGGATTTTAGACTTTAATTTATGTATTTGAAGGAGAAAGGGTCTGTGACTACACAATTGGAGACCAATCTCACAAATGCCCCGGGTGCCACACAAAACCTTAACTTTGACATCTCTTGATTCTTCAATGTTTCACTGCAAAATTGCTGCAAACTCTGCAAGTCTACTAAAAATAGTCACCTATGCTTGAAAACTCTAGGGAAGAATGGAAAGCATTTTTGAGGGAAGAGAAAGAGAGGGGTGAAAATAAATAAACAACTAAAGGCATAAAAAGCAGCTGTGGTTTCAAAAGACTTCCAAAGCACTCAGGACCCAGTTCACTGAGCATGGCTTGCTTGCCTCTGCAGCTCCTCAGGTTCACCAGAGCTCATGCACCTGAGAAGCACCAGGATCAGCCCCTATCCCTTTCCCAGCTCCCCGGGAACCCTCACCTTACTTCACCAGAGGAAGCTTTGTACTGGGGAGTTTAGCTGGGCAGGTAGGTATGGTGATTTCTTTTTCAGCTGTGTGTTTTATTACTTTCGGGGTGCAAGCAGAGAGGAGAAATAAAACTACTCTTCATGCTTGGTGTGTGATTTTCAAATGTTTGTTTTTCAGCTACATCTGATTTCCTCTGGAGTCACTAATGGCCCTGCTCTTCATTGCAGGTTATTTCCCCTGCCAAATTTAAACTTTAAAGCTCTGACTAAGAAAAATATTACTTACAAAAGAAGAGTCAAAGAAACATTTTCATATATGAAAAACTTACTACTCTGCTTTTATTTTTTTTTTTATTTTCTGGAAAAAAAAAGACCCTCTTCAGGCCACATTTGCAGACAGCTAAGATCACCCTGAAGAAGACTATGGAAAAGAGAAGAGTGTTCTGCAGCTCTGGCTCTAGCAGCTGCTATGCTATCAGTTTTAGGACTACAAAAGGAGCGCAAAAGCCTATAGGGAGAGAAGTACGACAGCTTCTATTAACTGGAAACCTACACCACTGTGAACATTTTCCTTCTTGTCATTGCTTTTAATATGTACCCTCATAAAAGGGGTTATGAAACACAGCAGAGTTCGTGCAGTTTCTTCTAACAAATAAACCTTTATTCAACACTTTGCTGTTACAGCAAAGAAAGGGTGCCTGCTCTGCTCAGTGAGGAGAGACATGTACAGAGCTCTCCAGTCACTGGCAAAGCTCACTCTTGACTGAGATTTCACTTAGGTGGCCAGATCTTAAAAGCCAGTGTACCAAACAACACACTGGTTACCTAGAATAAATACCCCAGCTGGATAATGAAAAGGTTGACTTGGAAGGATAAGAAACACATATTCCTCGTTAGCAAAACAGAAAAAGTTGGCATCTGTTCACTTTGACAAGAGAAGGGAAGAACATCCCTGCACTTACCAGCATCCAGAGCAATATCCGTACCCACCTGATCATACTCTGAAGCTCCGGGGTACAATGGCCAGCCCAAGAACAGCTCTGCAATGACACATCCCAATGACCACATATCGATTGCTTCACAAAACGGTAAGCCGAGGATGATTTCAGGGGCTCTGCAAAGGAAGAGGTTAGAAAATATCAGCAACGGGAGCACATCCACTCGGCTGGCATAGGGATGCCCACACAGAGCACGATATCCATGAAGTTGCCTGCTGCCAACAAGCATCATTGCAGCGATGGACCTGAAGGTCCCACCAGCCACTGGCAAAGTGCCTGATAACCAAGCACTAGTTGATGAATATTTCTCCTTGCAGACGAGTCCTCTGGCAGCATTTAGCCAGGAGATAGCCTTACATTTCACAGCAGTTTGCAAAGGGGAGAATTACCATTATTTTCATTCAGCAGGTGAGAAAATGAAGCTCAAAACAAATGTTGTGCGTTCAAAGCCACGCAATTAAGGCCTCTGCTCGAGGCTCTTGGGACCAAGCCTGCTGTCCTGTGGAGGAACCGTGTGGACTCCTGTGGTGAAGCTCAGTGGGCTTCAAAACAGCCAGACATTAAATAATCATTACAGGACTGGTATAAATGGATTACTTTTTAAACAAATGGATGCAACCATAAAACAGAGAAATAACGTAATTGTATCTATTAGACCTAAGTCTTTTCCTCACGAGAAAGTAGCTATGAAGCCTTCACTTCCCAGTCTGTCTGAGACACCTGATTATATCTCCTCTTCCCTTCCAGCCCAAACAGTCAAAATGTGGTGGCACTCTCGCTACACATCTACTGCTGGCTTGAGGAGATGCCCACTGAGGCACCTCTGCTCAGTGAGCTTCAGCATGAGCCTTGATGAGGAAGGAGAGGACAAGGTAAAAGCTCTGCTTTGGCTCTCCAGAAGGATCCCTGACCGTGGTATGGAGAAGATGCCCAAATACGCAAAACCAGCCCCAGCTCAGACTTCCATGGGACCTTAGGGTGAGGCTCATTTCACCTTCCAGCCAGGTAGAAGTTGGTGTCAAATCTTGGCTGGGTACCATGCAGACTGTATGGTCAATAAGGAGGGCAATATCCTCCCTAAAGGGGATTTGTCCCACTGCCTTGGGATGGTTTGAATCCTTCTCCACTGGTGCTGAAAAGACCTAGAAGGTGAAGTTAGATGAGCTCCCTAAACTCCAGTGGCCAAGGTGAGAGGAGATGAACACCCCCCCCTTAGTGCCCCAAATGGTTTACATTCCAAAAGCAACTTCTGTGTGGAAGAATCAAAAGCATTTTACAAACACAGAAAACGTTACAGAAAACCCACCTCTGCACACAAACATCTTCCTCACTCTCCCCACCTCAGCTCAGACTTACACATGCATTTAAGTGCCACAGTTCCTATTTTACACAAGGATCACCTAAAAGCTTCTCTCCTGCTCTTCTTGCAGACCTTGCAACACTTCTAAAGCCCCAGCTTCAGGTGATGTTAAGCAGAAATAAAAACTCACTTTCTCATACTTACTTTCCCTTTTCTAACTATTACAAAGAATGCACAGATGACAGATAAAAGAAAGAAACATGCACTCCTTTAAAACTTTCATAATTTTAAAAATAGCCTTGGGATTTCTCAGGCCCTGATGCATATTTTGGGAATGCCTGGGGTTGACTATTGAGCAAATCAAGTGCCACCATCTAGTGCTGGAAACAGGACCCATGGTTCCAGTTTCCCATCTGTCATCAGGATAAGATCTGACACTAGTGAGATCATACTAAGGATTACCAATTGCAGTGGAAAATATTACGTTTTAATCACACCATTACATAGTCATGTGAAGACAAGTCTTTAGCCAAGAAACCAAGCAAAGTGGGTAACTTTTTCCAAAGAAACAAGCTAATGCCCTGTAGCAAGAATCCATGCCACATCTTCAGTCCACAACCTTCACCGATTTTGGATTGACTGGTAACAATACAAGCCCCAAACCATCTATTCTCAAACCACCTATGCAGAATGTAAAAATTACAGGAAATTCTGGGATTTTAAGGTTAGGATGCTTAGAGCCATTCTCTCTCTCAAAAAAAAACCAACATGCCAGCAACTTTAGGCTACCATTAGCTCTTCTAGCTTCATCTGTGTTTGTTGTTCTCATACCCCACTGTTCTTTAGCCTATTGTGACAAACTTTTTATTCTAACACCAATATCTTCTTAGGAACAAGGGGTTAATTTTCCTCCTTTCCTCCCATTCCGTCATCCCTGCACACTACTCGACACCTAGACAAAATGCAGAGAGAAAAAGACAGCTATGGTGACCTGCATCTCATTACTATGTAAATCCTGCATTCAAAGCCATCTGCCTCTCCCTGTCTGCCTTCCACATTGTGAACGAAATGTCCCTGGTCACTAACGAGAGCTCAGCCACGCATCAGCTGAACTTCAAATCCCTCCCACTAACTCAAGTGAAGGGAGCGGAGGGGTGGACTACTGATGGGATATTCCCAACGTGATTTTGTTTAGAAACCTCCCTGCTCATAAAAATCACTTGCACTGCTGTCATTTGCAGCACACACCTCCTCCCTTCTCTCTCCACACTTACGCTGCCAACACCTCTGGACCCCTGCAAGAAGGGATGACCTAGAATCCGAGGTTCCAAAATCTCTAATTTTTTGCTGTCCAGTGGATTTTTCTTAAAGCTCCAGCTCTGGACTGCAGCAGTCAGGAAAGAATTTCTTTTTCGCACACAAAAGAAGTCCTGCACCTCCACTGTAGGGAAGAAAAGCGCAAAACCAGTGTTCATACCATTTAAACACATAAAAGGCAACTAAATGGAACATCATTCATTATATTAAACCAGACCTATCACTCACTGTAAGAGGGGAGGTGGTGAGATAGTCTTATTTCATTTTACTTTTTTTGGAAGCTAAATCAAGCCTAAAAATAAGTTGCCATCTTTGCCCATTCAGCCCCAAACAGATGATGATTTTGGAACAGTGATGAGAACCCCTGTGAGAGGGGAGCCAGATCAAAGTGATATGGTGCTCTACATACACCACAGCCAGTGTTCGCTGTGGCTTGCTCCCAGCCTTCATGTCATGACTGCAATTTTTCCATGGAGAGGGAGTGGCCCTAAGACAAAAAGATCTTGTTAACTTAATTACGCAATCCTTAAGACACCACAAGAACGACAGGTATCAGGCACCACACGGGCTTCCAGATTTTCAGCTAGCAGACACCTCCTGTTTGCCATGCAAGAGGGAGCTGGAGTCACCTCAGGAGGAGCCGTGGTCTGCCTGCCTGCTGGAACTCTGCTAATGGCCAACACTGACCATTTTAGTGGAGGATGCTACAAGTTCTGTAATAAAACAACCAGTCAACTAATAAAAAGCCTTCTGAACCTCTATAGGGTGGAAATTGTTCTCTACGCTCCATTATGGATGCATAGATTCTTCTGCATATAGACCTATATCTAACGTGTGGAACTCTTCTCTTAACATGAACATGTCATTTTTTTTTAAGACGAGGTGAGATCTTGACTTCAATCACATGTTGTGGCACGGAGTTCCACAGGCAACCTTCTGCTTTCAATAGCATCTTACCTCGGTTGTTTGATGATGGATTTTCCTTCATCAGGTTAGGTTTAAATTTGTCACCTCTCACTTCATGTTCACATGGACTGGCAGAGAGGTGAAGATGGAAGTGCCTGCATCACCTTTCTTTTAGAACAAGCTATTTTTATATCCCTGCCCTGTTCTCCCCTGTTTGCAGCAGCTTCTGGCTTCTCAGTGTTTCAATCCACTTCCACTACCAGGCCCTACAACTCCTCTTCTTGACATGTCTGCTTGGAAACAGGCTGAAGAGCCTACAAACAGTTAAACACAAGGATATTCCCCAGACTTATTTTACACTATTTGAAGAATGCTTTCGCGTTCTAGTCTTCCCCGTGCCTAATATTTTGTTTGCTTTTGGAATGACACGAGGCATTTCAGCAGATGTTTTATCTGGGAGATCCTCTGAGACACACAGTTCTTTCTCCAGAGGAGCTGCAGTTAATTTAAGACATAGAATTACGTAGAAATAGTTTGGTTTTCCTCTTCCCGTGTTAACTGCCTTTCAGTACTGCACTGATCGGGCATAATGTTGTCCATGATCTAGATCAAGTCCCTTAAATGTTCCTCACTCTTTTCTGCAGCTTAACCTAAGCAACTCTGTAGTATCTGCACACGAGCACTTCATTGCTGGTCCACCACTTTTTACAGATAATTAATACATTAAATAACTCTGGTCCTAAAATGCGCATGCAGTCCACTCCACAACGCTCCCTTTTATCCCTAAAGGTGCTTGGATTTAGCTCAGCAATACAAATGGTGTAATTCTCTTTTCCAAAGGGAAACAAAACATTTCCATGTTTTAGCCAGCTCTTACGTCGGATTTCTCCATTCTGCAGCTGGTAACACTATGTAACAGGGGAAAATGCCCTATTACAGTGTACATGTCAGAATATTGCAATTATAAATCAGAAGGACATTTCACATGGCAGCAGGTCCTCCTGGACCATCACTGAGGTCTTCAGCAGACCTCTCCATGGCTGCATAGGGAAGTGTTTTCTGTACCAACAATACTGCTCATTTTAACACAGACCCACCAAACGTTTTGATTCTGTAGGGATCCTGTTTGAAACCACGTAAAGGCAGCCCACTGCCAGATAACTTGGTATGTGCACAAACATCTCTATTTACTGCTCTCTGCCAGTTTTTTAGCTGTGCACCTGCACATCTCAGCACACTAATTCCAACTCCAATATGAGACAAAAGAAAAACAGAAAACTTCATCCTTCTGTCCTTCCTCTCCTGCGTGCTTCCTTCATTATCTCCCAAAGAAAGGCACTCCCCTGCCGTATGTGCAGGCACAACCTGCTCTGTAGCTTACACAAATCTCACCAGCACAGACCGAAGATTTAGAGACCACATGCCACCAGCTTGGGAGAGACTGAAGAGCCCTGTCATGAGCCTGTATCTCCAAGAGAAAAGCAGTAGCCCATTCCCACTTCCCACATCAACTACCCCTTTCCCAGACCAAATTCCTCCTCCAGACTCCGTCCTCCTCTCAGCTGAATTACCCCCTGGCTAGCAAAGGGTGAC